AATCTTCCTGGATTCTCGATCCGATTGCAGGACTCAGGATTCCGCACATACACGGGGCATGCAGCTGCAGCGTGCAAAACTTCCGCGCGCCTCTGTTAATTAGAGTGTCTTTAACGCTCCAGCGAGCGAAGTAATTAAGAGATGCGATGAGGAGGGAGGCGAGATGCAGAGCGAGAGTTAGAGGGTGATGTGCTGCTACGCTGTCTCACCCGCTGGTCTGGCCGCCCACGTCCTCCGGGTCTCCCTGGTGAACGATGGGGAGGAGCACGTAGACGCGTCATGATCATGACGCCACAGGTGAAACACTCATGGTGGCTGCGTTGGTCCCGTGTACATTATATAGATCTATATCACCGAATATATTTATAGATTATATAATATGTAGTATATGTACTAGTTATATATATATATATATATATAGATATATATAATATATATCAGTGGCCTGGTACCCGGGATTCAAAAAGACACCTCAGCTGTTTTGCAGGTGTCTAGCATCATCGCTATACCAGCAGCCATCAGATTGTTACGCGGACGCGAAACGTAGTAGTGGCGAAAAGTCGAGGGGGTGGGAGGTGACTGTTTCACCCACACCAATCTCGTATCTGTCTAATATTAAACGGTTAACTGGGCGATACTGGCCCACGGTCAACTGTCAATAACATGGCGCCACGTGCTTTACTACCCCCCCCCACACACGCACACACACACACACACACAAACAACACACACACGCACGCACGCACGCCGCACACCACTACACACACACACAACAAAATACGCGCACGCGCCACCCACGCACGCAGCACACACACACACACACACCACACACACACCCACACACCACACTGCAACACAGACACCACGCACACGCACACACACACACGACGCGCGCGCGCACACACCACACACACAAACACACACACACACAACACGCAGGCGCCGCACACACACACACACCGCGCGACGTCACGCACGCACGCACGCACGCACCACGCACACACACCATACACCACACACACCACACACACACACACACACACACTGACACATACGCCACACGCACACACACCACACACACACACACACACACACACACATCCACACACATCTGACAATACGCACAAACACACACACACAACACACACAACACACACGAACACACACACACACAACACGTGCTGGCGCCACTCTCGATCACACACACACACACACACACACACCAAACGCACACACAGCAGCACACACACACCACACACACGACACACACACACACACACACACACACCACTTCACACTCACACAACTTCAGCCATCTTCCCCCCAGGCAACGTGTGTTTGCTACGCCTCTGCCACTCAAGCATCGCGACTGCGCGACCAGGTCAAACACCGTTGGCAATCAGTCCAATCGGCAGTTGCGCGCGTGATTTCTGTTAGCAATATCTGTATTTTCCAATCAGTCCTAATCACCGGTGCTGGCTGTCGCGCGTGTGCAGCAAATGTTGGGCACGAGAATAACCGCTGGCACGGCGTTTGCATTAGCGGGATGAGGTCCATTAAAAGCGGCATTTTGCAGCTGAGGGGGCACACGGAGGTGGTGCACCTTAATTTTTTTTTGCTTCACGATTGATGTGGTCTGAGAAAGAGAGGAGAGAGAGAGAGAGAAGAGATCTAAGGTAGCTGAAGGAGAAACGGTTCGCGTTTAAAGAGTCGTCAGTCGTGGGCGCCTTCGTAGTACACAAACGAGCGCGAGCAAACTGCAAGGCACTAATTGAAGGTCTAGTCTCGCACCCCCAGGGGTTGAGGGAGAGGATATGGTTGGCTTGTTCGGGGTTTTGATAGGATGCCGTCTAACACTTGACATATATATATATATATATATATATATATATATATATATAATATATATATATATATATATTACATATTCATTATATATAACTGAGAATTGGTTTAATAAAGGCGTATAAAACGGTATGGAACGTTGCGTGTTTTTCTGTCTGAAACGCATTGTCTGATGGATGAATTGTTTATATTTCGCCGAATCAACAGTGCGGTTGAAAGTAAAACCAAATCGCAAGATGCAGAAAGCGAGAGGTGCTAAACATGCCAACAGTCGCCGTGAGCGGCACCGGGGTGGGCAGGCAGCGCGGATGAAAAGGCTTGAAAGAAGCTATAGACCGGTAGTAGCTGTGGCGGAAAATTCTGAGTTGGCACTTTGAATGCAGCTCTCTCTCTCACTCTCTTGCTCTCCTTCCGCCCCTCTGCTGCTCTCTCACACTCTCTTGCCTTCTCTTCCGCCCCTCTCTCTCCCTCCTTTCTTTCTCTCGCGCGCTCTCTCTCTTCTCTCTCTCTCCTTCGGCGCGCCGCGCTTTCTTCTCTCTCTCTCTCATCTCTCTCTCTCTCTCTTTCGGCTCTCTCTTTCTCTTGCGCTCTCTGGTTTTCTGCTTTCGCTCTCTCTTTCTCTTTCGCCTCTTTCTCTTTCTCTCGCCGCTCTCTTTCTCTCTTTCGCTCTTTTCTCTTTCTCTCTCGCGTGCGTTATAAACATTGACAAGCTCGAGCCCTGTCAGTGCAACACAACATTTTCGGTGACGGCGCGATGAGACCGCTCACTGACCCTACGTATTGGTCTTAGTGGGGTGGAATGAAGCGAGGGCGCGGTCGTCGGGCTGCAATCACCATAGATCACCAAATAAATAATAATAATAATAATAATAATAATTAAAATAATAACAACAGCAACGATCAATAATACATAATAATGGTGTATTTAATTGAATAATAACACATTACATCAATAATTGCATCCAGAATAATAATAATAATAATAATTTAATACATACCAACAACAACCGACAAACAACAACAACAACAACAACAACAAAACATAAAAAAAGAAAAAAAGACAATAAACAACAACACCACAACCACCAACAACGAACACATAACAATATATAACGACAGTCTGCTTACTCAAGCCTAGCGGCGTGACGGATTCCTGGTCTACCACATAGCGGCACTCACTACACGTTCGGACCGCACCGCGCTGTGGCATGCGCTGAAGCGGCCTACATGAATGAGAACTGCTGCGAGTAAGCGGTGCCGGAGAAGCATCGGGCGCGGCATGCCGCCGCACTACGCCAACCTCGGCAGCACATAGGCCGATTGGGAGCGGAAGAGAGGCAGAGACAGCGCCGGGAAAACGCGGAAAGCACAGGGGCGGTTCCGGGACAACAGGCTTGGGCGACAACAGGTTGGGCGGCGACAACAGCGGTGTTGACGGCACAACAGGGTGCGCGACAACAGGGTTGCGCCGACAACAGGGCCACAGGCGGCGATAGCGCGAGGAGATGGCCGATGGTATGGTCATGATGGCCTGTTGTCCCGTCGGCGGGGGAGCGGGGGGTTCTAGCATTGCGGGTTTGAGTGGAATTCGCCACCAAATACATGGGCAGCAAGTGTATGTTTTTACTCGTTCGACCATTGGTACACTCAGTGTATGTACACTAATCGTAATGCGCGTCAAGTGTACTGTCGACCTGAATGAATGCTACACTATGTGGTATGTACCGAAGTGAATGCTACACTAAGCTTATGTATACAAAGTAAAATGCACACCAAATGTATGTACATAAGTGATGGAACGCAAGTCGTAGGCGAAAAATGGGTAATGCGGTAAGTGTATGGTAAATAATATATACCCCAAGCTGAATGTACACTATGTGTATGTGAAAATAAGTGAATGCACGTCAAGTGTTGATGTAGGGCCTACACAGATATTTTTTACCCCAAGTGAGTGTACACTTAAGTAAGATGGACACTAAGTGCTCATGTTCGCAGTGAGTGTATATTAGGTGTACGTATGTGCGCCAAGGCCATCGGTCACAACGTGTGATACCTGCACGCCGTCTGGACACTGCCGAGAGTTGACAGGAAACACTGCACGTCTTGCACTCGTGACACGGGACACGGGGCCTACGCGGCCTTGACCACGGCGGACACGGTGCCCACGACGCCCGTGACACGCGTGACACGACGCCGTGACCAAGCGGGGACAGCCAGTGCCCACGACGCCTGACACGGGACACTGGTGCCCGACGAAGCCGTACACTAGCGACACGCCGTGCTACGACGCCTGACACGGGGACACAGTGCCCACGACGCCGCGTTGTGACACGGGGACACAGTGCCACGACGGCCGAACACGGGGACACCGGCCCACGACGCAATCGTAACACGGGGACACGGGTGCCCCACGACGCCAGACGCAAAGCGTGACCGTGACACAGCTGGCCACGACCGCTGTGACACGTGACACAGTGCCCACGGACGCCGTAACACGGGACACAGTGGCCCCACGGACGCGTGAACACGGGGACACAGTGCCCACGACGCTGTGACACGGTGACACAGTGCCCACGACGCCGTAACACGGGGACACGGTGCCCACGACGCCGTAACACGGGGACACGGTGCCCTCGACGCACGTGACACGGGGACACGGTCCCACGACGGCCGTAACACGGGACACGGTGCCCACTCGACGCCGTACGTAACACTGGGGACACGTGCCCTCGACGCGCGTGACCAGGGAGCACAGTGTCCACGACACGTGTGACACGGTGGACACAGTGCGCACGACGCCTAACACGGGGACACAATGCCCTCGACGCAAACGTGCACACAGCGACACAAGTGACCAACGACGCTGTGACACGTGACACAGTGCCTCAACGACGCTGTGACACGGTGACAACAGTGCCCACGACGCCTACGGGACACGGTGACACGGTGCCCACGACGCTGTGACACGGTGACACAGTGCCCACGACGTCGTGACACGGGGACACAGTGCCCACGACGCAGGATGACACTGGCTGAACCAGTGCCACGGTGCCGTAAGCACAGGGGGACAGAGTGTCCAGCACGCGTGGACACGCGGGACACCTAGTCGTCCAGCGACGCACGGGACATTGCGGCGACCACAGTGGACAGGAGCGCCGTTGACACGGTGACAGTGTTCCACGGCGCTGCGGACACGTGGACACAGTGGTCCACGACGCCGTTGCACGGAAGAAACGGTGACACGACGCGCGTGGCACGGTTGAAACACATTGCTCACGACGCCGCTGACACCTGCAGGACACAGTGACCACGACGCCGTGACACGGGGACACAGTGTCCACGACGCCGTGACACGGGGACACAGTGCCCACGACGCCGTGGCACGGGAACACGGTGCCCACGACGCTGTTATCAACGATCCAGGCTTGACCTCAGAACTTCAGAGACGTTGCCGTGTGCTATTCATAGACGCATCGACGCAGCTCGGTGCGGTAGGCGGTTTCACGTACGTACGTAACGTACATTTTATAACGAGTTTGTGGAGCAGAAACATTTGCAGGCGCGTGCAGTCTCGCGTGTTTCTGCCTGCACGGGTTGTGCGACTTACGTCAGCTGTCTCTGTTGGTAAATGTCAAATTATTTTGCTCTCTCCACTCTCACGCGCGCGCTCTTTCTCTCTCTCTCTAGCTCACTCTCCCTCGCTCTCTCACGCTATCTCTCGCTATCTCTCTCTCTCTCTCCCTCTCTTTCGCTCTTTCTCTCCCCCTCTCTCTCTCTTATCTCTAGAAATGTACGGTTCCTTATGGAATGCTAGAGCTAAGCGAATCTCGTGCGTGCCGTGCAATCGAACGCATTCGGAGAGAGAAAAAAACGCGTGGATCTATTGTACAGTTTTTTACTCTTCGTCAAATTAAAAACGAGCTGGAACTGCATAGGTAGCGGCATTGCCCTTTTCTAAGCATAATTCTAGTTGTAGGATGATAGAATAATTACGACGTAAATTACGAACAAATTTCGTGAATTTCGTGAACATGTGGCAATTATATGAAAATCGCTTTTGCTCGTCTCGGTTTCGAATCTAATTGACATGCTACGTTTTATTGAGCTGTGTATAGTGAAGCTTATGTTAGTGTTGCATATCCATAGACCCGCTTAGCCTCACAGTATTTAAGAACATGTACGAGTTCGTGTGTGCGGATTTATTTTTAGCATTCTGGCATTCATTATCGTGGACGTGGCATTTGCAGTAGCATATAACGTTATAATTCGTGCATTTATTATAATTCGTATATGCTATCATGACTCGTTATGATTTTCGTTATTTTAGTTTTGTCTTCAATTATTTTAAGTCATGCGCGGACGTTCGTCAACGTATGAGATCTTCGAACATGGCAACTTATTGCCTTCCTGGTAACACTTCAGGAACAACCTCATCCTTCTGGGTTATACACAATCCGATTTCTCATTGCTTTTGGGTAGCGTAAACGTAAACTCGTGCAGATGTTGATCACGTTCACTGTGAGAACGTCCTGTATTATGCAAATGTCTCAAGGATTGGCCTGTGATTTATAAATGATAGCAAAACGTCTTCTATTATGCAAATGTCTCTAGGATTGGCCTGTGATTATAAATGATATAGCAAAACGTCCTATATTGTGCAAATGTCTCTACGATTGACCTGTGATTTATAAATGATAGCAAAACGTCCTATATTGTGCAAATTTCTCTAGAATTGGCCTGTGATTTATAAATGGTAGAAAAACGTTCTATATTGTACAAATGTCTCTACGATTGACCTGTGATTTATAAAGGATAGCAAAACGTCCTATATTGTGCAAATGTCTTTACGAAGGTAAAAACTCAGTGTCCACTGCGTCTTTTACTCCCCTTGAACTAATGAGCCTGTGAGCTATGGCAATGTTTTTTGTTTTATGGTTGATTTATCACATATAACATTCGATTTTATGCACATATAACATTTGATTTATTGCATATAACATTTGATTTATCGCATATAATATTTGATTATTTAAATCATATGTTATATGCAATAAATCGACATAATTCCCTGGCAAATACAATTGCATCATTTGATACCATGCCTGTTAAATTCGATTGTATTAAGGGCATTTACTGTTTTAAATGTTCACATTATGTTGATTTGATTTTATATCAGAAAAGAGAATCACAACCATTCGCAATCCTGGCATCAAACCATTCGTTTTTGGAATCAAACCATTCAATTATGGAATAGAATCGTTCGATTTTGGAATCAAATTGTTGATTTTTGTATAAATTTCAAGGATCGAATGGTTCGATTCGAAGATCGAATGATTTCGATTCCAAAATCAAACGATTCGAACTTTTCGACTGAAATTTATACCGGACCCACGTTTCCGACTCTAGTGTCATCTATGAACAAACTTGAGCAAACGGGCCTAGTTTAACTTGGAGCTTTTTACATTATGATAATTAATAAAATTCTAATAAGTATTAAGCTCATAATAAGAGGAGATATCAAATAATCATGTACAATCTATTCTTAGCATTTGAGTTTGTAGTTTAGATGTAGGATTTTGAACAATGTTTATGTGCACACTCTAAAGTGCTTCATGAATTCCCGCGCTCGCACGCGCACCCTTTCGTCACAAGAGAATGTGCGAAGCAATAGAACTAGAATAGAACTTCTATTCTAGTTCTATGGTGCGAAAACGTCTGTTCCGTTCGTCAGGGTTGCACAGCGTAGAAGGAGAGCGAACTCGTGCTGCTCAGCAGCCGATCTCCAGGACAAACTGCATGCAGCGCCCCCTTCCCACACTGCAGGATATAGAATTGAGCCAGAGCGAGAGCGCCATCTGTCGTGGAGTTTTGTCTCAGGAAACAACGATCGCGCGCCGTCTAGCGACAACTTTAATCGCCCCGCGATTATTTGCTGAGGATTGTTATTACTGGCGGCCTAGGAGGGAAGCAAAGAATGTGCAGGCGGCGGGTCCTAATATAAGTTCGCCACCCTATGTAGATGTGATACAAGAAAAAACAAAATAGACTCGGGCTGCTTAAAAAATTCAATAAGTGCATTTGACAAATTTCTTCTTTTTATCTCAATTAAACGTATGATATCTTGGGTAATCATGGGTCACAAAATCATTTTGGTGCATTTCATTATAATCAGTATAAGACGTACGATATATTTGTGGACAAAGTCATTTTATTACATAAAAAAAGAAACCAACATTTAGTCTAAAATCGACCAACATTTAGTCTAAAATCAACCAAAAATGTAAACTTTCTGTACTTTTGACTTCAATACCGCACAACTACATATATCGCAATAGAAAAGAAAAAAAGTTCGGCAGCATGCATATTCATGGCTTACACAAATAACAATTCTCACAAAGAAGCCCCACATTAAAAGTATAATAAAACAAAATTACAAAAATGGAAATGGAAATAATTAATATTGTGCATTCTTGCGGGCCAGCGCGTGAGCAGATGAGACGCCTCGATCGCTCCCTCCCTCTCTCCCTCCCCTCCCTCCCTCCCTCTCTTACTCACTTACCACCTCAACCCCCTCCCTCCCTCGCCCTCTCACTCACTCACCACTTCGATTCCTCCCCCCTCCCTCCCCCCCCTCCCTCCCTCCCTCCCTCCTCCCTCCTTCCCTCCCTCCCTCCCTCCCTCCCTCCTCTCTCACTTACTCACTTACCACCTCGACAACCCTCCCTCCTCCCTCACCACCTTCTCCCCCTTCTCCTCCGCCACCTCCTCCCCCTCCTCCTCCACCACCTTCTCCCCCTCCTCTACCTCCTCCCCCTTCTTCCCCTTCTCTTTCCCTACCACCTCTTCCCCCTTCTTCTTCACCACTTTCTCCCCCTCCTCTACTTCCTCCACATTCTCCCACTCTCCTCTACCTCCTCCACCTTCTCCCACCATCCTCTACATCCTCCCTCTTCTACCTTCTCCCATTCTCTACCTCCTCTCTCCCCTATCTCCCCACTCCTCGTCCTCCTCCACCACATTCTCCCCCTCATCTACCTCCTCCCTCCTTTACCTTCTCTCCCTCCTTCTTCACCACGTTCTCCCCCTCCTATACCTCCTCCGTCTTCTCCCACCATCCTCTACCTACTCCCTCTTCTACCTTCTCCCTCTCCTCTACCTCCCCCACCTTCTCCCACTATCCTCGACCTCCTCCCTCTTCTACCTTCTCCCCTTCCACTACCTCTTCTCTCCCCTATCTCCCAACTCCCCCTCCCCTCCACCACATTCTCTCCCTCCTCTACCTCCTTCCTACTCTACCTCTTCTACCTCCTAACCTTCTTCCCCCACTACCTTCTACCCTCCTCCTCGACCACCTTCTACTCTCCTCCTCGACCTCCTTCCTGTACCCTTTTTCTACCTTTTTCCTGTCCCTTTTTTCTACCTCCTCCTCTTCTCCCCTTCCTCCTCCTCCACTACCTTTTCCCTCGTCCTCGACCTCTTCTACCTCCACCCTTTCTCCCCTCCTCCTCTCCCACTACCTTCTCCCTCGTCCTGTACCGTCTCTCTTTTCTCCTGTACCACCTTATCCCCTCCTCATATACCTCGCCCCTCTTCCTCTATTTTCTTCCTTGCTCATACATATTAACTCCTTGGCCTTTCAACATGTATAAAATAAAAAATAAAAAAAAATAAAAAATTCTATGATAGAGCTCAGTGGTCAAGGCTATCAGTTAACTTCTGCTTGCGTGTGCACTGCGAATTCACCGCGGTGCGAATAAGAACACATTTTCTGTTATCCGCACCGCCGCGGTGCGAATAACCACTACGGTATTTTTTGTATTATGTAGATCCCTCCTGCACTCACCGCATCGAACCATGCGATTCTGAATCGCATTATTCGATCCGTGAATCGAAGCATTCGATCCGTGAATGTTATTTGTAATAAAATCAACCATAAAACAAAAAATTGAATTATGAAACAAAATACATGCCATAGTGAGAGTCCAGTCTGCTGTAGGCTTAGGGTTAGAGGTGATGGTAAATGTGCGTGTGTCGCAAGTTGGGCTTTGTTGGCATTACCTAGTATGTGCGCGTGTGTGTGTGCGTGCGTGTGCGTGTGCGTATGTGTGTGTGTGCGTGTGTGCGTGCGTGCGTGTGTGCGTGCGTTCGTGCGTGCGTGCGTGCGTGTGTGTGTGTGCGCACATGTGTGTGTGTGCGTGCGGGCGTGCGTGCGTGCGTGCGTGTGTGTGTGTGCGCACA